TGGAGGAGCAGCCAGTTCTGTGCAAAGAACACAACTCCTATTCCTGTGAGGACCAGGGGTAGCCTTCTCCCCTTACTCGACTACACCTGTAGGGACATTATCATATGAGGTTCCTACAAGGCCCACCCTGGGACATAGGCTGGCAGGGTGATGAACAGGGACACCATGCCCTGCTCTCCTGCCCTACTCCCAGCAGCAGTCAGGAGACAGGTCTCTTTAACCCAGACCTGTCCCAGAGGACAGGTATCTACCCTGCTTCTAAGAGCATCTTACACAGTCTCTGCTGAATCTGCTCACTGCTCACCCTTCAGGTTTGTGTCTTGTCCTGTGCATCTTGGGAGTCCAGAACTCTGTAGGTCCCAAAGTAGGCTCTGAACAAGCCAGGTCAAGTGTGGGTCTCAGTCCAAGGAGGCTTGCTGGGCACGGGAGCATGAGTATGCAGGCTAGGGTGCCGGGATGTCCCCTCCCACAGAAAAGCCACTTTAATCATTAAACTGGAAATTTAAAAAAGTGCCCATCGAGACATTTACCATCAACCAAATCTCACTTCTAGAGCCTCCATACCCACCACGGGCCCTCGGGACTCCTCAGCCCCCTCCCCAGGCACTGTTTACACCATTACTCAGTTCTCCTTGGCCCAGCTCCCTGTTGGACACTGTGCCCAGCGTCCATTTCCTGAGCCTTCTCTATTGCCAAGCCCCTTGCTCCACTCGAGAGTGCGTGAGCTAGTCTGCCCACAGTCCCAGGAGACTGAGACCCCCAGAACTCCCACTTTAGAGGAAGCTGAGGCTGAGGACCAGAGCAGTGGGCTGGGGCTTCCCAAAGGTTTAACTTCATGGCATCCGGAAACTCTCGGCCACAGGACAAGCCTTGCCACACAGGGCACAGAGGAAGCCCCTCTGCCAGGGAGGTGTTCACCAGTTGTGGCCTGGCTCTGCTCCATATCCCTGCCCACTGTGGGGGCCAACATGGGTGGGGAGGAGAGATCCATGAGATTGTGAAAGGATATGGTTTTCACTGTTCTGCAGTCAGTAAGCAGGCCCCTGGGAGCAGGGAGAGGCTTCAGAACTGTTTTCCTGGAGTCTCAACAGAGAATACCCCCAGGGATGTGTTGGGACTCCACCCCAGCTGCCTGGAAAACAATCAGCCTCATCTTGAACCCCAGCCTCCAGGGAGCCTGAGGGGCTACCAGCTTGATCAGGTGGGTAGGTCAAAAAGAATTACCCAGCAGTTTCCTGATATTCCACATCTGGGGCTTAAGGGCCAGCAGAGGGACTACTTGAGTGTGCATTTAACCCCCAGGGCATGCCCAGACTGAGCAAGCTTAACTCCATCACCATTGGTGTTCCCTGGGGTCACTGTGACTGAGAACCAGGGTCTCCTCAGCAGGCCATGCAGCACAGTCCCAGCTGAGTTCAGTCCAGTCTCTGCCCATCCCCAGCACCCTACTGATCCCTACCCCACCCTGCCCCGCCCTGACCCGCCCATGGATCTTCAGCAGTCCAAGACAGAAAACAGGTGTCCCCTGTCCTACACACTCACTCCAGGGGCCATCTTCAAAGTTCGCCCTCCCAGCTTCAACTTTAGAGACTGTTTGGGCATAACCTCATTTCTTCCTGTGAAAAAGGAGGATGGAGGGAACAGCAGTCTGTGTACTGCAGGGGGGGAGGGGATGGGGGAGGGGGGTGGCAACACTGACCAGTAGAGTGGCCAGCACTGCTCACTCAAGTCCCTGCAGGCAGGTCTGTTAGACTCTACCCCTCCTCATTCTCAACCCAGTCAGGAAATGGAAACAAGCACACACCACCAACCGTCACTCCCCAGCAGTGAAGACAGTCGGCACCAAGGGGCCCCTGGAGACCCTCCTATACCCAAGCCTCCATTCCAAGGTGACCAAATGGGTGTGCGCTTCTTTCCGAAGTGGAGAGCCCAGCTCAGACCCTGTATGTCTGAAAAGATCTTCAAGCCCCCGGTTTGTACGACTCCAGATCTTTGCACTACCCTGGCCTGTGCCAACTCAAAACTGCATACCCCCTTCCTCTCAAAAGCCTCCACAGAACCTTAAGGGCCAGGCCAGGGCTGTAATCTGTGCGGGAGACGACAGACAAGGAGGAGGGGCAGCTGGGGGGTGGGGTGGGCAGGAACTGGGGCATGCTGCGCAGCAGCACGCGGGCCACCCTGTTCTTTTCTAGGCCCGGAGCTCGAGCATCCCAGGGTGGCAATACCAAGCTGGAGAGCAAGCAACGGTGGTGTAATATTGGGGTGGACATCTCCAAGGCAAGTATGGAGTGTGCCCCCACCACTTCGAGGCCGCCCATCCAGGGGCGGTGGCTACGATGAGCTCATGGGGGCGGGGCGCCAAGATCCCGCCCTTCTCGAACCCCCTCAGTGCTCGCTAAGCAGGATGGTCCCCAAAACTGCGTTCACGAGGATGCTTACACCCCCTCCACAGTTGAAGGCTCCGGGTTACGTGGCTCTAGCCCGCAGACCCTTGCACCGGTCCCCAGCACTCAGAGGCGACAGGCCAGCGATCCCCTGATTCCCCGGCCCCAGAAGACCCTCGAGCAGAGGCCCGGAAGCTCAGCTCCTGGCCCCAGCCCGGTTGGAAAGGGGCGCCAGGCCCCCGGCCGGCGCACGGAGCCCACAGGTGGCGCCGCAACTTCACGGCCGCGCTGCGCCCTCTAAGCTGGGCCTAGCGCACTACCCAGCCTGGCAGCCGAAGGTTCGCCCCGTCCCCAGTTCCCAGTGACTGCTCACCCAGAAGACGAAATTGAAGACGAAGAGCAGGTATTTGATGCATTTGGTGCAACCCTCCACCCCCATGGCGGCGCGCGGCCTGCGGAGCTTGGGCTGGTTCTCGAGCGGGCAGTCTGGGGACGCAGGACTGGGGTCCGGGGCTGGCAGGTGGCCAGGGGCGCTGGCGGGCCGGGAAACTGGGATATGAAGAGCGAGACGCGGGGTAGAGAAGGGCTGGAGGCCTAGCAGGAAACGCGAGAGTCGCTACCGCTTAGAAGCAGGGGCGCGCTCGCTTGGACCGGGCGCGCGCGGAGCTCCGCACTCTTTATAGACCGCTAGGTCCCGCCCCTCGGAGGCCCCGCCCCGAGGACGCTCCTCCCCAGGCCACGCCTCCCGCCTGCGGGGGTGCCTGGTCTAGGGGTGCTTGGGTGTTGCCACCTCAGTCCCAGAGTAACCGCTCGAGAGCTCAGTGCAGATGATTCTCACGGTCTCCTTGCGCTGTGTTGCGCAGGATGTCCCCAAGCTTCCTGAGGGCTCCTAACCCCCGGGAGCACGCTGCTGGGTCGCGACCGAGGACTGGCCACAAGATACCCCCCCAAGAACCCCCACTTACTTCCCCTTATTCAGGCGCCTTGGACTTTCCCCAAGGGTTCCTCAGTGGAGGTGTCTCGACAGGAAAGTGTCTTAAAAGTTAGCATGCTCTGTGTATGTATCTCTTAGGCAGCAACTTGGATGGGTCTGAAGGTCTAGAATGGAATTCTATGTATCCTGGCTGATCCCAAGTCCCACAGACAGAGTCCCTGGCTGCAGTTCTGGAAAGTGCGTTTGGGAAGGTCACTAGTGTACCCAGTGTCCCTAGCAAATCTTGTGGCTGGAGCACCCTCAGGGGCACCTTCAAATACTATATTCATGCTGTCCTGGCTGTGCCTTCCAAGAGTCCATCCTCTATCCCTTGGCTGGCTCCCTGAAAGTTAGGGCTATAAAGAAGTGAGGAAAGATTGGGGGAGGGCTCCCTTCCCAGGTGAGGAATGGCTGCTGTCACCATAGATGATGTTCCACTGAAACTTTTTGGCACTTCCTCCCCGAACTGGAGGACAACCTGGCTGTTTCATCAGCAGGGACACACTGGAGACCCGTGGAAGGGCCAGTTCCCAAGACCCAGCTTTTTCCAGTTCACTCCCTGTTCTTAAAACTTTGAGCAGTTAAGGGCATGTTCCCTGCCAGGTGGTGGTGCATGCCTTTTAATCCCAGCACTTGGGAGGCAGAGGCATTTGAATCTCTGTGAGTTCGAGGCCAGCCTGCTCTACAAAGTGAGTTGCAGGACAGGCTCCAAAAGCTACACAGAGAAACCTTGTCTTGAAAACAAAACAAAAAGACATGTTCCCTATGAGGCTCACCCCTGGCACCCCTCTGGCTACAGGGCACTGGGTCTTGCTAAGTAGTCCTGGCTTTCTGGGAACTTATAGAGCTCTGCCTGCCTCTGCTTCCCAGGTACCTGCCACCAAGCCCAGGAGTCTAAAGAACTAAAATTTGAACTGTGTATAATTTACATGTACACCTTATGGTTGGCCAGTAGCTTCCTGCAGGGAGCTACTCTTCTGGAATCACCTACTCTTCTAGGCTAGTAGGTTTCTTGAGGGTTAATTTGTGCATTTGTTTTGGCTTTGTAGCAGGCTAGTATAGCTGCTACAGTAAAGGATTATGCCTACTTTTATATAGTTCCTAGAGGCTGAAGTTTTGTTACATTAGAAGTAACTCAAGTCTCCAATGCTGAAGTGATGTCACAATGAAAGTCATTTGAGTCCCCACAAGGGAGTCTCTGAGGATTCTTTCGGTTTAAGGGAGGAAAGAATAGTCCTTGCATGTGCAGAGATGGGCACCTGCTCTCTCATCAGCTCTTCACTCTCTCCAGTGATGGGGACACCTCATGCCCAAAGTGGGAGATGCACATTGAAGGTCATGCAGGGCCAGCTGTTTGTCTATGTACTGTGTAGTACATCAGGTTTTTAGTGGGTTCCATTGTGTGCCAGGAACTTCTCCAAGTACTGGCTATGGGCAGCCAAGGAGCCATGGCCACTCCCTTTGGGGCCCTTAGGCTCTGGTCACATCAATGCCCAGAAGAGAGTTTCCAGGATGCTTGACCAATCACAGTGGGTAGTTTTTTTTTTAGATCAGTTTCCTTCAAATTAAAACATCACATGCTGGAGGGAAGGTATTAAGACTAGGATGTGAACAACTAACAAGTCTCAGAAGTTTCTGAAACTTACAAGGCCCCTTCTTCCCCAAGGACAAGTAAACAGGAAGAGAGTCCATGCTCTGACCTTTGTTGAAGTGCTAGAGCTCCAGGATTCCAGCTTTTGGGAGCCATCATCCATGCTGGGGTTTTTGGTGATACAGCTGCCTTTGAGTTTTCTCTGATCCTGTAAGTAACCCCTCATCCATGCTCCTGTAAGTAGCCCAATCAACTGATTGGTTTACCAAATTGGACTTTGGTGGAATCTTTCTTTGGTCTGCTGTCAGTTCCCTTTCTGAAGTGAATGTTCACGTTCATGTTCATGAACTGATGTTCATGTTCATGAACTCATGTTCGTGAACTGATGTTCATGTTCGTGAACTGATGTTCATGTTGCATTTCCTTAGGGAAATATCACACAATAGTAGTAGACCTGCACTGTGGGTCTTAGAGGAGCTAAGGATGGGTCCAGACTATCATACCTGAAAAGCCTTGTGGGCTGAGAGAACCATTCCAGGTCAAGGCACAGAAAGGAAGCTCTCTTGGGCCCAGGAGCAGATGTAGGCAGGAGAAAGCTAGACAGGTCTGGGTTAGGTGGAAGGCTGACTTAGGCGCATTCTGTTCCAATTGATGGGGGTGGGTAGGGAGCAATCTCATAGGCTCTAGGAGACTTGCTGAGAGGGCTGGTTGCAAGTGTTTATGGGGCTGCCTTGCAGGGCCTGCACCTGTGAGCACCACATCTAAGTGCCCTGCCTAACATCCTGCCAGCTTGGCTATGAGGACATGGGGAGACCAACGGGCCAGCTTGGTAGGACATGTTGTCAGGTAGGTACCCAGAGAGTGCATCAGAGAAGGGCCCCTGGGCTAGCTCAGCCTGACAATCTCTGTTTTCTTGGCTCCGAGACATCAGTGAGGAAGGCAGATGAGCTGTGGTAGGAAATGAGGGAGCCTAACCCTGGGATGGGAGGTTTCTCCCTGTTTTCCCCTGGCCAGCAGGTGTGGGAAGGTGGGAAGAGCAAGCCTTCATAGCCAGGGCTTGTCTCAAAATTCTCCTGCCAGTATGACTTTGTACTGGCTGCTCAGTTTCCCCAAGTGTGACAGAGATGCTGCAGAGTGTCTCTAGGTGGGTAAGGGCAAAATGTCCTTGTCATTTGGAGCAGGGCCTAGTCGATGGGAAACTCAAGGTCAAGTCCTGTTTGGCCCAGTCCCAGGGTCTCGTGACTCGCTCCACAGAGGAGGACTCCGGCTGTGTGTGTTTGGTAGGCTAGGGGGAGGCTGCTGCAGAGCTACTCTCAGTTTCCTAAAATTCATGAAGACTACCCAAGGGGGCTGTTTCTGCAGAGCTTGCTCAAGCGAGGAGGTTGGCCACTGCCATTTCTGCTTGCTAGAGATTCATATGCAGGTCCGGGAGCAAGACAGCTGTGTATTAAAAGAGCTCAAGCATCCAAAAACAACCAGAGCAGTGCCAGACAAAACTCTTGCGAGCATCTCCATAGAGACAGGAAATGCAGCCCTCTACTCTCTAAGCACCACACTCTCCTGTTAGAGTACCTCATTCACCAGCAGTCGAAGGGGATCTGCCCTCTAGACCTGAGGAAGGACTCGAGATTTATGAAAGCCCTGAGCCTGTGTCCTCTCAAGGAAGCCTGGAGTCTCCTCACCCGGAACGGTCATAGACAAGACAAGATGAAACAAACAAGACAGTCTCAGCATTTCTCCCCAGGGTTCTATGGGCAAGGATGATTGGGCAAGATGGAAACAGTACCGTTAGAAAGGGACCTAGTACCATGGAAAAGGACAGTGTGCTGGTAAATGCTTAAAGTCCCTTATGAGACATGCCTACAGGCGTGTCTGTGAAGGAGTTTCTAGACTGGGTTGACTAAAGAGGGAAGACCCACCCTAAATGTGAGCTGGGGTCCTAGAGTGATGAAAAGCAGAAAGTGTGCTGAGCACCAGTGTTCATCTCTCTGTTTCCTGATTGTTGGTATAATGTGATGGGTTGCCTCAGATCCCTGCGCCCATGCCTTCCCTGTCATTATGGGATGTACCCTTGAACTGTGAGCCTGAATACATCTTTTCTTCCTTAAATCGCTTTGTCAGGTATTTTAGGCACAGCAAGAAGAAAATTAACACTTGGATGAGTAAAGATGTTTAACAATGCGGCAGATATAAAATCAATATGCAAAAGACAAACAGATGTATAGACTAGTAGTGAACAATCCAAGATGGAGTCTAAATGGCGATTTCATTTAGAACAGCAGCAGAAAGAACAAAACATCAAGGAATGGAATCACTACGGGACATGTGTGAGACCTGCAGACTTGGAAGGAACTAGGATATAACCTTGTGAGGGGATCTCCCTTCGTGAGTCGAAGACAAATTTATCATTCAGGTAGTAACATTAAAGAATTTGTCTGGCTTTTTACATGCTGATTCTAGATTCAAGGCTATTTTCTTTTTAAAAATTACATTCTATTTATTTATTCTCTGTGTGTATTATGCTCAAACACACACTTGTGTGCCTCCATGCATGCTACAGCAGGATTCTCTCCTTCCAATATGTGGATTGAACTTAAGTCACCAAGCTTGGCAGCAAGTACCTTTACCCACTGAACCATCTTGCCAGCCTCTGACCCTAAATTCGCAGGGAAAGGCAAGGGACTCAGAATAGCCAAAACAATCTTGAGAAAGAACAGAGGTGGAGGGTGTACACTTCCTGATTCACACTACAAAGCTATAGTAGTCAGGAGAGTGTGGTTCTAAAGTCAGGTGTGGTAGAACATGGCTGTACTCCTAGCATTTAAAGGGTGAAGGCAGGAGAGTCAGGAGTTCAAAGCCAGCCTGGGCTACATGAGACCTTGTCTCCAAAAGTGGGGAGACAGAGAAACAGTGTAAGTACAGCTATCTTAGTCTGCTTTCTATTGCTTTGATAATACCAGGGCCAAACACAACTTGGGGAGTGTCTTAGTTAGGATTACTGTTGCTGTGATGAAACATCATGACCCAAGCAGTTTGGAGAGGAAGGGGTTTCTTTGGCTTATGATTCCATATAACCGTTAATCATCAAAGGAAGTTAGGACAGGAACTCAAAACAGGACAGAAGCCTGGAGGCAGGGGCTGATGCAGAGACCTCGTCAGGTGCTGCTTACTGGCTTGCTCTTCGTGACTTAATCAGTGTGCTTTTTTTTTTTTTTTATAGACTCCACAGCCCAGGGATGTCCCCAGCCCTTCCACATCAATCACTAATTAAGAAAATGCCTTACAGGCTTGCCTAACAGCCTGATCTTAAGGAGGCATTTTCTTAATTGAGGTTCTCCCCTCTCAGATGATTTTAGCTTGTGTCAAGTTGACATAAAACTAGTCAGCACAGGGAGGAAGAGGTTTATTATTTGGCTTATGCATTCCAATCATAGTCCATCATGAAGGAAGCCAAGACAGGAACTGAAGCAGAGGCCATGGAGAAATGCTGCTTACTGACTTGCTCCTCATGGCTTACTTAGTTTTTTTTTTTTTTTATACAACCCAGGACCACTCGTTCAGGTGTGGCACCATCCATTATCTGAGCCCTCCCATATCCATAATTAATAAAGAAAATGCCCCACAGACTTGCCTACAGGCCAATTTGATGAAGGCTTTTTCTCAGTTGAGGTTCCCTCTTCCCATGTGACTCTAACTTGTATCAGGTTGACAAAAACAAAAACAAAAACAAAATTAACCAACATGGTAGCAGTGGAGATCAATGGAATAAATAGAATTGAAATTCTAGAAATAGATCTTTGGTTTTAAACGAGAGGACAAGACAACTAACTCAGCGGGGAGAAGAGTCTTCCTAGCACAAGGCTCTGGTGTAGCCATCCTTGTATACAGAAAAACCAAGGTAAATCTATCGAATATCACGTCTGCCAACATTATGATCAAAATGAGACCTAAGGCTAGAGAGATGACTCAGTGGTTAAGAGCACTGGCTGCTCTTCAAGGGGACTTGGGTTCAGTTTCCAGCACCCACATGACAGCTCACCTGTAACTCCAATTCCAGGGGATCTGAGGCCTTCATTTGGTTTCCATTGGCATTGGGCATGCATATAATGTGCAGACATGCATGGAGGCAAAACACCTATACACAAAAAAATAATTAAAAATTAATTACATAAAAATCTTAAGTCTGGCCGGGCGGTGCTGGCGCACGCCTTTAATCCCAGCACTCGGGAGGCAGAGTCAGGCGGATCTCTGTGAGTTCGAGGCCAGCCTGGGCTACCAAGTGAGTTCCAGGAAAGGCGCAAAGCTACACAGAGAAACCCTGTCTCGAAAAAAAAAAAAAATCTTAAGTCTGGCAGTGATGGTGAATATCTTTAATCCTAGCACTTGGGAGGCAGAGGCAGGTGGATCTCTGTGAGTTTGAGGCCAGCCTCGTCTACAGAGCAAGTTCTAGGACAGCCAGGATGAAATTCTATTAAAAAAGTTTCCTTTCTATGACCAAACACACAAGCAGCAAAAGAAAAAACAGAAGCACTGTTCCATGGGCTTGGTCTCAGGCTGCATTAAAAAAAAAAGAGAAAGGGAGCTGAGTGCCAGCATTCATCTCTCTGCTTCCTGACTGAATGGATGTGACCAGCTGCCTCACCGTCATGCCGTCTGCCATCTTGCCTTCCCCGCCAGGAGCCTCAAACCCAGAGGCAAAAAAACCCCTCTTCCTTAAGTTGGCTTTGACAGATATTCTGCCACAACAATGAGAAAAGTAACTAACACGATATTTGTACTAAAACGGGAAGTCCAAGCATTGTATTAGCGGGAGATTGCTCCGATTTGTTGAGGAAAAGGGAATTGAAAGCCATATTTGTGAATCTGTCATGCTCCTTTCTTTGTCTACCAGACTACTGAGACAATGGACCCGAGAAATGAGAATTTCCCCAGAAATATGCTGGGAGAAGAAAAGATTGAATTGGTAGAACAACCAGAAGAGGGTTTTGTCTCCTGAAGAAAGGTGTACACCTTGTCAAAGGACCTTGTAGGAAAGATTTGGGAGCTGAGAGAATGGTGGGCCAAGGGCCCACACCTGGGTCAGGCCGGCTTAGTTATGCGTACCAGCATCCTCTAAGCCTCTCACCCTCACATCAGGACCCTGAAGATGGGCTTGGGGCAGGGCATCTCTGGATCTCTCTGTCCCTTTTCCCAATGCAACCATGTTGGATACATCTCCCCCTTTCTGCTTATTAATTTGTCTCTTGAAAAAGATTTGTTTTCATTTTATTGATGTGTAAATGTGTCTGTGTATGCGTGTGCTCTCTCTGTCTCTGTCTCTGTCTCTGTCGTCTCTCTCGTGGTGTGCGCACAGGAGTCTCTGGGGTTGTAGTTGCAGGTTGTTGTGAGCTGTCTGACGGGGGTGCTCAGAATCAAATGGGTCCTCTGCAAGAGCAGCCGTTCTTCTAACCACTGAGCCATGTCTCTAGCCCCTTAACTTGCCTCTTTTAACTAGCTTATGAAGGATGGGTAGCCAAGTCTGGCTTGTTGGGACTCAGGCAGTGACTCTAAATTCAGTATTACCCTCTAGGCATACAAGCACCCAGTACCCAGAGTGTTTCACTTCTCCACCCAAATGGTAAATAGAGACCACAAAATGGGCTGAATTTCCAGTATCTGTTTGCCATGCTCTCTGTAATTCTGTATGTGCGTGATAGGAATGGAAGAGAATGGGATACTTTCAAGGACAAGATTTCTTTTTAAAAGGAACCCGTGACAACTGGCTGTTGTTGCAACCAATAGCTACCTTTGCCCTGTCAGAAGAGGAAAGTCTCTGTTGTCATAAAACCTCTGAAATCCCCAAAAGGAAATCTGAATTTGTCTTGAGGGGATTGATGACCAGGAAATTTCATCCATGTATTTACCCATGTGTAGAAACTTGTGTTTTTACATCCAAGGTCAGTGAAAACACATCCATACAACAATGGATCCATGTACTTTTGTGCCAGCATTTGTTATCATAGCCAAAAAGTGGAACCAGGACTGGTGAGGTGGCTTAGCAGTTCAGAGGGCTTGCTGCTCAATCATGGGAGCCTGAGTCTGCATCCCAGCATCCACAGCCAGTGGCTTACAGTGACCTGTAGCTTCAGCTCCAAAGGTTCTAATGCCCTCTTCTGGCCTCCTTGGGCACTGCATGCACGTGATACACATACATGAAGACAAAGCACCCAGACACTTTATAATGACTAATCTTGGCTGTTAATTGACTACATCTGGAATCAACTAAAACTCAAGAAGTTGAACATTCCCATGAAGTATTTACTTGATTGGATCATTTGAGGTGGGGAGACCCACCCTAAATCTGGGCCACACCTCCTGGTGGCAGCCCACATGAAAGAACATGAAGGAAACTTGCTTTTTTTTTTTCTTTTCTGTTTTCCCTCACTCTCACTGACATGTTCACCTGTCTTGTTGGTGAGGCATTCCTTTGCTGATGTTAGAACCTACTTTTTCACGATTCCAGCATATATCAAAGACCAGCATCTCTTCAGGAACCTTCCAGGACTCCAGCACCAGAATGGGACTGTAGAGACATCCAATCTCGTGGACTTGACAACTACCAGACTCTTTCCTTTCCACTGGGAGACTGCTGTTGTTGGACTATCTGGACCACAGCCTGTAAGTCATTCTAATAAATTCCCTTTTAATATATATTAATATATACTCATTCTATCAGTTCTGTTCCCTTAGAGAACCTAATGTACATCTAAAAATAAAATAATATGCTGGGTGGTGGTGGTGCATGCCTTTAATGCCAGCACTAGGGAAGCAGAGGCAGGCAGATCTCTGCGTTTAAGGCCAGCCTGGTTTACAAATAAAGTTCCAGGACAGCAAGGGCTACACATAGAAATCCTGTCTCAAAACAAAATACCCATCAAGTGGCAAATGTGTCAACATGACATTGTCCAGACTGCAGAGTGTAATGGAACCATTGAAATCAAGGAAGCCATGATACATGCTATAGCTCTGATGAGCCTTGAAAATGCTGAGTCAGGTATGGTGACACATGCCTGTAACCTAGAAGACAGAGGCAGGAGGATCTCCACAAGTTCCAGGCCAACCAGGACTATAAAGTAAGACCCCCGTCTCAAAACAAAAACAAAACAAATGTTTTGTTAATGAAAGAGGCCGGGTGTGAAAGAACATGTATTCAACACTTCCTTTTAAAGTGCTGAGGAAAGTCAAGTGCAAGCCTTTGATCCCAGAGCACTTGAGAAGCAGAGGCAGGTAGTTCTCTGTGAGTTCGAAGCCAGCCTTGTCTACATAGAGTTTCAGCATAGCCAGGGCTTCACAGAGAGACCCTGTCTCAAAAATAAATAAATAAATAAATAAATAAATAAATAAATAAATAAATAAATAAATAAATAAAAGTGCTGAGAGTATGTAAATTAATGATAGTAGAATGATAGAGATAGAAGGGAGATTTGCTTTTGCCGGAGCTTGGAGGGTGGTGCTAATCTATCCTATCTTTGGGGTATGAAAGTGATCTAAGATTAGGCAGTAGTTTGGGCTGCACACATCTCACTACTGAGAACATGGACTTCAGTCTGTCCATGGGAAGTTTTTGTGGTAGATAATTTGTGGCTGCACAAGATATAAAATATCTCAAAAATCCAGCTCAGGTGAGCCTCCACAGCAGGTGGCTGGTCTGAGAAAGGAGGAGTAGAAACAGGAATGCGTGCCTTGGGGTTGATTTAGGGAGCATACTTGGAGTTCTCTCGTTGGTCCTGTCTGAGTTCAGGGACCCAGACTTTCCCTACTGTGTCCTGTTGCTTAGGGCTTATTACCTAGAGGTTAGGCTCTCCTTCCAAGGGTTCCAAATCCTAGAGTCCTATATAGACATCATCTCTTTGGGGTAATGACTTAGTTAGCTTTAACTGTCAACTTGACACAGCCTAGAGTCAGGTGAGAAAGGTAACTCAGTTGAGGGATTGTCTAGATCAGATTGGCCTGTGGGCGTGGCTATGGGGGATTGTCTTGATTGTTAATTGATGTAGGAGAGCCCATCTCATTGTGGGCGGCACCATTCTCTAGGCAGGTGGTCCTGGGATATATAAGAAAACTAGCCAAGCATCAGTCTGCAAACCAACCAACAAGCCACATTACTCCATGGATTCTGCTTCAAGTTCCTGCCCTCCTTTCTCTCAATGATAGACTGTAATCCAGACGTATGAGCCAAGTAAACAGTTTCTTCCCCTAACTTCCCCTAGGTTTTCGTGGTGTTTTATCACAGCAACAGAAAACAAATTAGAACAGGAAGTCATTTCTCATTCTGGTCATCACATTTAGCAGATCAGGAGAGCGCTGGGGTGAGAGGGAGCAGACAGAAAATAAGAGGGTCTATGACCAAGTTAGGGAACTTGGGAGGAACCAGAGGGTGATGAGAAAAGGATGATCTCTACCCTGCAGTGGTGACTGTGTGGTTAAGCAGAGACATAACTGAGGCCTGTGCTGGACATTTGGTCAGCATGTGGACAAAGCCCCCCAGACCATGGGAAGGAAGTGAGAGGAAAGGCTAGAGTTTGAACCTGGGCCTGGGGACCCTGGAGGGTCAGGCTATGCTTTTAAGTGTTCTCTGTGGTGGAAGGAGAACCAGCAGGGGGTCAGGGAAATCCACAGGGGCAGCAGTGCAGGTCCAGGAAGAGCCGCCAGCGGCTGGCCTGTGGACAGAGATCGTCAAGAGGTCACCAGCAAGGGAGACTTTCCTGCTTCAGGGACAACAAACAGTCCCAACTTGTATGGTTTTCAAAAGACCCAGGCCATCAAGACTTCAGAGTCAGGAGGAAAAGGGAGCCCAAGGAAGGGCTAGGAGTGCCAAGGGCTTGTGGGCTTGCCTGTGGCCTGTGGTTGTGCGTGGAATAGTTTGCAGTGAGGTGTTGGCCTTGTGCCGAGAGGCCTGGTCTTGCTATGCCCAGGGGAGCACCGTGGCATGTTCTAGGAGCCCTGAGATGTGAGATCTGTTCAACTCTCAGGGAGCTTGTAGATGTCACATGTGGGTCAGGATGAGTCTCCTCAGGATCTGCAGGGACCCAGCCCCCCTTCAGTCCTGCTGTTGGAGGAAGAGGGCAGTAACAATTCTGGATTCCTTGGGGGCGGGGTGAATACTGCAGCTGTGGGAGGAAAAAAAGCCTGGCTGGCCTCTGGATGACTGTGACCCTGACTGTGACTGGCCGGACATTGTAGCTATCCCAACTGTGGGACCCTTGCCTCCTAGGACAGCACAGTCCCAAGCCATCAGCCTGGCCAAGTGCACACAGTTCTGAGTCAGAGAGGGCTGGTCAGAGCTTCATACTATTTCCACCTCAGGACTCCTCCTGGAAGGCAGTGGAATCTGGAAATCTGGACTGAGCCAGCAAGAGGAGGCCCTGTCCCTAAAGAGAGGGTCAGATGGCCCACTGTCTGGGCTGGGGGTGGAGCTTCACCTACAGGGCTAATCCTGCCTGTATGGTCTCTGTGTCGCTCTGTGCTAAGACCCCAGTGGTGCTGCCTGCTAGTGTGAAGCCAGGGTCACCTTCACCATCTACCCATGAGTCCTTGCTCAGCACTGAAAGCAGTAACCCATTAAGACCTATCTCCTGAGAAAAGAGGGATTCTGGGGAGTGACCAGGGCTGGTTGTGATGCTCTTGGGGCCTCCATTCCTGTGGAATATAACCCTAGGAAGGCCCAGCAACCTCTGTCTGACTCCCACCTCTGTCCCATCACCATGGATTGGAGGGGTTGGAGGGGCCGAAGGGGACAGCCTGGAGAAATCATCTCCTGCCTCTGCAGTGACCAGGCTCACACAGGGCTGGTGCCCGCCTGGGCCAGTCCCTTCTGGTCAGAGTCAATCTGCCCTTCACATAGCCTTAGCCCCTCTTTCTCCAGACTGTATTGCTGAGAACATAAAGGGCACACTGAGACTTCAGGACCTTTGATCTGTCCCAGGGTCTCTTCCTGATCTATGTCTCTTACTGTCTAGACTCTACCAGGGACTGCCTGGACAAACTATCCCCACTGTTGACAGCAGTTGCTGACCAACTTCCATGGGAGTAGGCCACACGGGGTAGTTCCCACAGAGGGGCTGCAAGGTGAGACGAGAAGAAGTAGGCAATGCTTAGGAAAAGAAGGTGTGGGTGGTCAAGGGTGTCCCCTACTCGCCTCCAGCCTAGACCCTGATAGGCCAAGGGGTCACTGGGACTGGGGTGGAGAGGCCACTGCGGGATGGGGTAGAATGTAGAGGGAAGGTGGGTGGGTCTACACAACAGAGAACCTAAAGTTTGGATTGAAGGCAAGTCTTTCAAAGCAAGGAAGTAGCTAGAAATACTCAGGGGAAAGCCAGGAAGGGTGGACGCCGTGGGAGAAAGTTCCAGAATCTCTAACTATCTCTGCTTCCCATTTCCTCAAGCATGAATGAATGACCAAACCAACTTGGGTTAAGCTGTGGGAGTAGGAAGTGGGAAGGATGGGGCTAGGCCTCAGTACCAACCAGTGGGTGGGTGGGGCATGGCTGGGTTCATGACCTAACATTAAGAGGAACAAATAGCCATCAGTACTGCCTGCTATTAATTCTTTACAGTGGAACTGGGCTCCGGTTTCCAGATCAATACTAAGTAATTAAGAGAGAAAAATTATTAAATAAGACTCAGAGGTCCAAAGTTTGTGGCAGACAGAGAGTCGGAAGACTCCACAAAGGACGTTGCCCTACAGGACGGGGACTGGGAAAGGCTGTGGTGAAGACTGGACTGAAAGCAGCTGTTTGGAGCCCAGGTGGGCAATGAGGAGGCTGAGTGGTTCAAGGGCCTCCTGACAGGGCACTGCTGGGAGAAGAAAAGAGGGAGGAGGAAGGAGACACAGGTTCAGAGGGAGGGGCTGAGCTCCAGGGATGGTGTAGGATGGGGCTCTAGCAAGGAGTCACCTTCTGACCTTATCCCTTCCTGGCATGCCAGGGGGTCTGAGAACTCTTGCTGCCCCAAGTTTAAGTGAAGATCCACTGTCCACCAGGCCGATGACAGTAAGGCTGGTTGGTGCTGTGGATCAGCATCTGCAGGACGCATGCACTTCTGAGCCCCTAAATGCCACTGCCAAGTGGGGCTACTGGGTGCAGACAGAGCATCTGGTGGGGTAGAATATTCTCTATCTCAGTCTCTAACTCAGTGCCCAGACTGCACATGTACTGAGATAGGAAAGGCCCATGGTGTGGATGGAGCCACAGGCCTGCAATCTCCATGGGCATCTGTCTTTCTAGCCAGATCAGAGGCCTCTGGTTCCTCTTGCTCCATCTAGGAAACCCAGGGTCTATGCTTTTCTGTCCTGTAAGGAGGCTCTTGCCCATAATAGTGTCTAGGTTCTGACCCTAGGCTTTGGGTCCCTAGCCTGGCAGTCCCACAGCACCTGCCTAGGACAGGCTCCTTGCATGCCATGGAAGTCCAGGAGCCAGGGACAGCTCCCTGTCCCACTCCCACTTTTGGGAGGAGGAGTAGAGCAGACTTTCAAGATAGCTTTGATGGCCCAAGGGCACCTTCAGAGCTGCTGCAGGATCCAAGAGGAAGGTATTGTCCTTTTGTCCCTCCATCAGTCATTAGAAGGTCCCCCAGAAGGGACGAGAACTCAGGGGAGGCAACCCTATGAGCTGGAGCAT